GGGAGGAGCTTTGTGGAAGACTGAGTAATTCTCCAATTCAGAAGAAGAGGATGGGCCCATAAGGTAACAGAAACCCAGAGGAGGCTTAGCCAAAGCCACACAATAGGATGTTGATGTCAAGGCTATGATATTTCATCATTGCAAGTATTTATATCCATTTCTTACCTATCCCATTGGTCTGTGGCCTCCTGTATCCAGGGAGCCACAGTTACGAAGGGTTTCTCCATTTCAAAAAAAGGGATGTTCAAACCCAGAATGCAGAGCACATCAGTGAATAAAAGGCTCACTGTGTGGACCCTTACCCACCAACCAGATGTGGCCCCAGCAAGTAGGCGTTGAAGAGTAGCAGGCAGGAGTGGTGAAGTTGGCTTGTCTCTGACCAAAGGGTTCTGTCCTTTCCTATTCAGCTGACTTGGAGCTAGATGAGGTGGAGGACTTCCTCGGGGAGCTCATGACCAACGAGTTTGATACAGTTGTGGAGGATGGGAGTCTGCCGCAGGTGAGCATGTCATGGGCACAGCTGCCCCCTTCTTGCCTATAGTTTTTCTTCTCCCCAAGTGTCTATTTTAGGCCAAGACTCTTGGCTCTAACCATTGAGTCTTGCACAAGAACCTTTTATGACTCCCTATTGCCTAGTCTTCCAAGGCCTTTCCAAATCCTACCTCTTCTTTTTTAAATAAATTTTTTTATTGATTTCAGAGATGGAGAGGGAGAGATAGAAACATCAATGATGAGTGAGAATCATTGATTGGCTGCCTCCTGCATGCCCCCTACTGGGAATCGAGCCTGCAACCCAGGCATGTGCCCTTGACCAGAACTGAACCTGGGACCCTTCAGTTCACAGGCCGACGCTCTATCCACTGAGCCAAACCAGCTAGGGCTTCTCTTTTCTCTTGAGATGCCATTCCCAGCCAGGTCTGTTCCTCACCCCCATCCCAAGGGCAGGTCAGGCCAGGCACATTTTCACCCCTCCCCTGGTTAACATCACTCCCCTGCTGGGATTGCCTTCCCTTTTACATCTTGCATCTTTCAAACCCAGTTTTAGTGCCTTCCCAGCTAGGAGGCCCTCCTTCAATGCTTCAGGCCATTACCTGAGCTTTTCATATGTGGTTCCTTCATTAGTGAACTCCTTGGGGGAGGAAAGAGCCCCATTCTCCTCTGGGAAATTCCAAACCCTTCCCCACTCTTGCTGCAAACATGGCCTGTTGTAGGTTCTCTAGAAAACCCAAACTGGTTGAATGTTTTCTTGATAGGTGAGCCAGCAGCTGCAGACCATGTTCTACCACTTCCAGAGGGGTGATGGGGCCACTATGAAGGAGTTGGCCTCCCACATCACCCAAAGAAAGCGCAGGGTTAGAGCCACTGCACTTTCGACAGACAAACAGACGGATGATGATAATGCGGACAGCGCGGAGGAGATGGAGGTGAGAGGGGTGCCCTTGGGTGGGGGAGATGTAGATTTTTAAAAAACTTTTATTATTATTATTATCATTAATGATTTCAGAGAGGAAGGGAGAGGGAGAGAGAAATAGAAACATCAATGATGAAAGGGAATCATTGATTGGCTGCCTCCTGCACACCCCACACTGGGTATTGAGCTGCAACCTGGGCGTATGCCCTGACCAGGAATCGAACGGTGATCTCGTGGTCCATAGGTCAGCACTCAACCACTGAGCCATGCTGGCTGGGCAAGATGTAGATATTGTCAATTTTCTGGGAGATCAGCTACTTTTGTAGGGAAATGATGGGGGTGGGGTGGTAGTGGCTGTATTATCCAGAGAGGGCAAGGAACTTTCCTAAGGTCACACAGCCAATCCTTGCAAAGCGGGGAGAGCCTGGGTCTCCCAGTGGCCACAACTGGGAGGCGTTGTATTTAGCTCTCTCCTGTGTTTCTCCTGCAGGTCACAGCTACGAATGATGGGGCAGCTACTGGTGGGGTCTGCCCCCAGCCTGAATCCTCTGGTCCAGACCCCCAGACTATTAAGGAAGAAGATATAGTGGAGGATGGTTGGACCATTGTCCGGAGAAAGAAATGAGTGGGGCCGGCATTGGTTTGGGCCCTTGTTCTAAGGATTTTTTTTGGAGGATTGTGGATCTTTGGACTGGTTATCCCATCTCCATCCTCTCCCTATTCCCCTGTCTAGCTCCCTCCAGGGGAAGAAGAGCCCTAGGGTCCTTGGCCTTGGGGTGGTAGGACCTGGTTGACCACACCCCCTTGGGCCGTAAGTTATTATCTGAACGGTGAGGCCTGGTTTCCCAGCACAGTGCCTTGGGTGCAGTCAGTGTGAAGAGTAGGATGAGTGGGTGTGGGTGCGGTTGGAAACGCTGAATGCTGGTTGACAGTGGGCAGGTAGATTTATGAAGGGAGAGAGGACCAGCAGAACCAATACTTCTGCTGGGTCAGGAACGGTGAGATGAACATGGCAGCTGGAAGAGAGAGTCATTGACAATGTGAACGAAAGTAGCTGTGTTACCTCTCCCACTTTTCTGCTGCCCGTAAACACACACACAGCAGCTCAGCCCCATCCTGCAGCCCAGCCTCCAGCCCTGGTTCCTTCAGGAAGTCTAAGACATTGGCAAGGTGGTGAGCTTGGGGGACCTGGGCTTTGTTATCTGTCTCCTGCAACCTCTTTCCAAACTCTTCATCCAATTCCATCCATGTCCAGGGATGAGGCTTAAAAGACATGAATAAATAACACCTTAATGTTGAACCTGTCACTTGGTCTGTTGTGAGTAGCCTTGGCATCATTCTTTGGGGAGCTGAGACGCCGAGCTCGGCAAGGGAGCAGGTTCTGGGCCCACCCGAGCAGTCTGGTACTTTGGACAAACACACAGATGGGCAAACGGAGCACAGCAGTGCCCTGAAAGTTTCCGTAAGCCTGAAATAAACTGTATTTTTTTTTCTTTAAAAAACAAAACAAAACCGAGAGTATCCATTGTTCTTCCCCCCTGTTCCCCTGTCCTGCCCGGTGGCCCTGCCATGGGTCTGGACGATAAAATACTGGGTAGCCTTGGGGTTGGGTAGAAGCTGTAAGCCATGGAGAGGCAGGAAGGATCTGGTCACTGCCCCACCTCGCATCGTACGTGTGAAGACACTGGGTGAGGGGGCAGGGGTGGGCCAGGGCCAGGGCCTCAGTGGGAGAACTGGCACTTGAATCCAGGTCTCTCCTGCCTCTGGTGCTTTTAGGGGGATGGGGTAGAGGCAGGATCTGTGGGGTATTGAGGGGATGGGGAAACGGCCTAGTTCAGGCAGGTCTAGCAACAGCTCCCACCCTTCCTGGGGACGGGGATTTAAAAAAAATGAACATCACTGTAGGAATATTTCTTTTAAAAGCCCCCATTTTGTGAAAAGATGAATTAAAAAACCCAAGACCCAGCATTCGGGATTGAAAGTGCCCATGATGGGAGTTCAAGTATTGACTGAGCTGGGAGGGAGGGGGCTGGGGCCCCCAGTCGGACATGGGCAGCTAGAGTGTGGGGCAGGGGGCCCCAAGTCCCCCCAAACCCTCTAGGTCTTGTCTCGGGTCTGGGGGGCTTCAGAGGGTTCAGCGGTGGCTCCTGAAGCTGCCACCTGTGCCTCTTCCATCTCCCTGTCCTCAGACAGTGTGGGCCCCGGGCAGAACGTGTCCCCACGGCCCGCCCGGCCGAGCACAGCCATCCAGCGCCGCTGCAGCTCCTCTGTCTCGGGGCTGAAGTACCAGCTCAGGTGGCTCTGGGTGATCTTGAAGACATGCCGTCTGTCGGGCCGCTCCCCGGCCTCGGGAGGCCCCACCTCAAAGCCAATGAGGGGCAGGCTGCGCTGGGCTTTCACATCCTGGGGAACGGACAGAGCCAGGGTCACCGGGAGGCTGCGCTTCTCACTGCTTTTTCATCTGCTAACCCCCTCTTTTCCTTCCCCTGCTCAAGAACCTTCCAAGGCTCTACTGGTAGCAATAGAAACTTGTCTGGGGCTGGCATGCAGGCTGGGTTCAAATACCCGTTTCCTCCTACACCCCAAACCAGCCGGGCTAGTTTCCTTAGTGTATACCAAGTAATGTCTTCAGGCCTCTGTCTAGGCTGTTGCCCCCATTTACACATTCTTCCCCATCCAGATTGGATCTAGTAGTGCCCCACCTGCACCCTGGCTTTCTCTGGGAA